TTGGATTTTTTGATTCAGCACAGTCAGTTTTCATTCCTCTTGAATTCTTATAAACTTCTTTGGACTGTGCTTTGGGATACAGGAAATGCTCTTTTGCTTTTCTACTTGTCCTGAGTAAAAGGTAACTGGGTAAAATCAGACATTCCATTGATACAAGGAAATTATCACCTGCTTTGCAACTTATTTACTTATAGCAACTTATAACGATTTCTGAATATTGCTTAATAATCCTGCTTGCCCTGACTGTTCTGTGGAAGCTTACCAAGGGCTACTGCTACTGTGTTCATCAAAACAAAGCAGTTTTCTGTGGAAACTTACCAACAATTACTATGTTCAGCAAAAATGCTTCTTGACCTTGGAAAGTAGATGTGCTCTAACTAGTTTAGTCTGTTTAGTCTCGGTAATGAATAAAATAGCCATATATGGACAGTAGAAATGAATACACTGGTACTTTTAGATAAGATAGAATGAGTAAAGCGGCTGAAAACCCTCTTGTTATTCAAGAAATTGGCCAAGAGAATCTGGGCATGCTCTAGGGAAAAGTACCAGGTGAGAGAGACTGTGAGCCTTCCTCCCAAAGAGCCCCGGGGACGCCCACCAGGAGGCAACGCACAGGGGCAAAGAGAACATCAACTGCTGACACCAGCCTCTAGAACCAACCTGCCTTACTCACGCATATGGATATTTGTATTGTGTCATCCAATGAATATGTATATCCACACTATAAGTTTTTGGTAAAATGTGCTATGGGTATGCAAGCTTTATGGAGAAATCCCCTTGCACCCCAGTGCTGGAGTAAACATACCTGCTTTATAACTCTGAGTTGTAGAGTCTGTTTCCGTAAATCACCATCCTGTGAAGATGGCAGTCCCTAAAACTAGAATACAGGGGTACTAACTACCATTCAAGATTGTTCTTCAAGCTATTTGTAACTTCACAGATGCCAGTTTAGCAGTTGGTAGGCACAGGGATGTGAAAGAAAGCAATGTATTTTAGTGATGACTGGTGGCCAACCAAGCTCTGTGGAAAGGTGCTATAGCTGTGAAAAACACATACAGATCTCAAGAGAGTAATTAAAAGTATGTCTTTGCTCAGGCATTTTGGCAGGTTCCTCCTGGGTCACATAAATATGGGAGATTACTTTCATTTACATTTTACTATTAATGCACGTGTTTGAAGTGCATTTTTCATTGCGTTTACCCATATTTTTATATGTGATTTTAGACATCCTTACTGTGAGAAGAAATAATCCCCATATGCAACACTTTGATAGCCTTTCTAATATGGAAAATCTTTTCCAGCTACTTAAATTTAGCATACATCCAGACACCTACTCCAAAAAGAGATGTGCCTTGTCTAGATTACTGGTAATTAATACAGTCATAATAGCCCTTCAGTCAATACACAATAAACTAAAATTTTATGGTTTGTAAGCTTGTAGTCACAGTGTAGAACAAATATACTACCAATTTGTGTTTAAACGTCCCAGATAGACATTTTTGGCCTGGCAATCTGAAGAAGTGTTCAGCTGAGGGCTGAGGGAGCAATTCACACCATCAGAATGGGGGAACATGTTGACACGACAAAAATCCAAGGGAACTGCAGGATCTTCACTGCAAAATGCACTGGGAAATGCTCAATAATCTCCTGTTCCCTCATCCTTTTTATAGTGATGTCCTGGTATGCTGCTTGTGCGAAAAATGACAGAAATTTATCACAATATATGCAATGCATTTGGGCCTGACATAACAAAGAGTAAACTGAACTTTTCCAGCACTTCCTCAGCTCCTGTGAATGTGCAGAATTTACTGCTTGCTTGATTTGCCATCTGGATTGGAAGCTAAGCAGACAATTACTGTAAACTAGCACCTGAAAAATCTACACTGCTCTAAACATTTTTCATAGAAAACTCCTTTGCAATTTTATAGTAAAAATTTACACATCAATTGACACACATTTCATAGCTGATGCTGTGAGAAATAGAAGCTGTTGCCAAGATTAAAATGCATGAAAATCAAATGTAAATGCAAAATCCTATTACATTTCTTAAAGGGAGCAAAGCAGTTATTTAAAATAACACTTTAATATGCAGCTATAAAATGTAGTATTCTGTCTGTACAATTTATATATACACAAGCCAAATATATGCATTCCTCAAAACTATTTATGCATCTTTAACAGAGTAGATTTTTTATTTGTAAATATGAGTTTAAAAAGATGCAATTTTAACATCCTATTATTGCATTTTTCCCAAATGCTCTAAGCATTAATGCTGTTTAGCATTTAATTATCTGTTAAATTAAAACAATATTCAGTAGTTTCTTTGCTCTGATATTCAAGCACAGTATCAAAACTATCCTTAAATCACAGGTTAGGTTTTCTATTACCACAAGCAGCTGTGTTGTATAAGCTTCCTATAAAGTAGACAAACTCCATGTTAAAGGGATTTTTAATTTTTTTTTTCTTTTTTGATTGATAGTCACACTGGTCTTATTGAGAGAATGAAATTCATGGTGCTTATGGTTATAAACTATTTTCTAATTTCTAGTTCTTATCCACTTGTTTACATCGCTTATTTCTACTCCATGGTTACACTTTCATGAAAAAAAATCAGATTCTTTATTGTCCTTTATTTTTCTCAGCTAATGAGTTTCTTGTAAATATTCTCTATTTCTATCAACTGCCATGTAGTCCTCAGCACCTGCTCACTGGTCCTGAAAATTGATGATCAAAATTGTACACATTTTTATTAATATGGTCACTGTACAGTATTTTGCCAGAGTATTAATATTTCACTCTCTCCACTGGCAATTATTTACCCACTTCACCCTCAGAATACATTTCCCTTTTTCATAGCAAAAGGCAATGATGTTTCCTAGACACATTGTGATCAACTGACATTCCACAGATCTTTATCATCCTCAGTCATTTCCAGAAGATGTGCTCTACCTAAATCTAACACTAGAACTCCAATAGTGTGTGATGTGGCCCAAATAAACTGATTTCTGTATGGGCGAAGAACCTAGTACTTCTGTTGATTTGCATAGGATTATCAATTTCAAGAATCAGGCCAGAAGAAATTCAAGCTCATTGTATGTAAATTATTTCTGATAGGAAGTGTAAGTTTACAAGGATATCAGGTTTGCCAGATAAGACTGAACATGTGCACTGAATCCAGAAATATAAATGCAAGTCAAAATCAGAGTTGACTCAGGTTGTCTGTTGGCAAGGGGACGCAGTTGCTCTTTAAGATTTTAAAGAATCTAAAATAAGTCCTTTGGCTCTGTTTGCAGCTACATGACCTTCTACCTGAGAAAGGACGTACTGCACTCCTCTCGGGCAGATTTTTCCTAGTTCTACAGCATCCCTCCCAGGTTTTTAGCCAGCTGCTATGAGGGAGGGTGCCTCTATACCACCTCCATTACATTAATAGGTTTCTCCACAATCAAGTCAAATTTAACATCAGTTCAGTTCTTAATGATATCTGGATGTCATCGCTCTCATATTCAAATTGAGGAAAGCTGTTGATGAATTTACCTACCGCTTCAGTGAAACAATGTCATAGAGACAAAATCTTGCCTGACTCTAGGAAGGAATTAAGGGTAAAATACTCTTCTTCAACCTGCCATCCCTGATGACCTCTCAGAAAATAGAGCACTTAAACTCCAAAAAAAACCCAAACAAATGAAAACAACCCAATATCTCAAAGAATATCAGTTCCCCACATCAGATTATAATGCAAGGACAAAGAAAAATTCAATAGAAGTAATGGACTAATTAATTAAACCTCACTGCTTAATTTGCTACTAGAAGGCATTCCAGGTACAATACGGTGAGGCTAAAATTAAGAACCTACATTAAAATGCAGAAAGAAAATCCCTGAGATGGAAGTTATTTTTTTTAAATATTGGAATTCATAAAATGTGAATTAAACACCTAAGAGATATATATCTACAAGGGCACTGCATAAATTCTTAGTCTCATCAGCATCAATAAAAAGAGCAGCATTTCATCAGGTAGGCCTGCCTCCAGTAAAATAAACTCATTTACACTAGGGGAAATCTTCAGCTATATTGACATAATGGCAGCTGTCAGTCTCTTTCAACACCAAATATGCTCATCATGATATTCTCAGAAAATTTTCAGTTTAGTAAGCTGTTTATAAGGGATTAGTATAAACTAAGGCAGAAAGCACTGCTGATTACAAACAGATATACTTTTAGGAAAAGAGAAGCAGTTACATGTGTGCATTTCACCTAAACATAATCCATATCATAAGAATAAAATTATTCAATTAAAAAAAAAAAAAACAAAAAACAAAAACTCAGAACAGAAAATTAAATTAATAGATGAATCACAAGGACACAAAGTAAAACAGAGTTATGAGAATATTTTTCTGGATGAGCAGTGAGCATTGCAATGGAATTCCTTTTATTAAATGCCACTTCACAGTACCATGGCTCCATATGTATGCTATAATGGAGAATTTACCACCAGCATTGATCCCATCACAGAGACGCCTTTGTCGTTTTCATTTCAGTTCTCTTTAGGCAAAAAGGGAACAAATAAAAACTTCAAGACAAATTATCTGTATCTGAGCATAAAGAACAAAGGCTTGCCCACTGTTTATATCAGTTTATTGGATTTTCTGGGCTACTCATGGTGCTGGAGGCCCTACACCTCACTTTGAGAGGAAAAGAATGTAGGACAAGTCCTTCAGCCACCATCACTCCTCCGCACCACACTGATGGTGAAGGAGATACTACACAGCACAAGGAAGCATAATGTATCCTGTTATCTATCTATCCTAGAAGACACAACTCTGGGACGTCAATTTTTTATTAAATTGTATGATCAAAAGATCCCATAAAGGCTTATTCTGCAGGGAAAGCCTTATATTGGCAATATTTCTATCATAGGATTGTTATAAACCAGAATACTAGATCTACAAAGAACTGCTGCCACATTTCAGACCTCAAAAAATAATTTTATTCATTTACCTGCCCCCATTATGAGTCCTGGTGCAGTGTCCTTCGTATGGACTGTTCCTGACACATAGGGATTGTCTGCCCAGCGGAGATGGAGGTGAAGGTAGCAATCAGGCTTGTGGGGGAAGAAGACAACAGTTTTAAAAAAAAAAAAACCAAAACCAAACAAATCAAGAGGTAACAGTTATGGTCCTACAACACTGAATGCACAGTCAGAGAGCAGCTTCAGCAATGTATGTCTTCACAGAGAAAGAGAATGGCTGTTTCCCAAGTCCAGTCTGAAATATCCAGTTAACATTAGGTATCTAACTAATAAGAATCTCTGGTGATGTCTGTGTAGTCTGCCACTGTCTCAGCAAAAAGATATCCAAACTCAAAAAAGTCAGGATGAAATGATCATACAAACAACCCTTCTGACAAAACAGTTGCTTAAAAATTATAACTAACAGCAACAAGTATTGCATGGTTTTAGGTCCCAGGTAACTGGTAAAATGATGATTAAAACCAACTGTTTGTACTGAAATTTCTTTTTGAGAAAAAAAGTCTTATGAAATATAGCATAATGACTTTCGGACACATCCCTCGCCTCTCCTCACTAAACAACACTGCTTTTTGCTCACTGTCACTCAGAGGTCACATTGCTTGCAGCAATCTGACCATGAGCTTTACCAGGAGCAGGCTGCCAGCACCATCTGGGAGCTGCTGCCACAGTGATCCCTCTGCTCCCCTCAGAAAGCTCTGGATCAGGCCCTGCAGGCTTGAACATAGACGCAGTAGAGTCTTGAACTCTTCAAAAGGGAGCCAGCAGCTCCAGCCCTCCACTTCTGGAGAGGGATCTGTCAGTAATCTGTCAGTGCCACTCTGTCAGTGGCAGGACTAAAAGCATTTATTTCACCCAGCAATGCAGAGCTTGAAGTCACAAGGAACAGAGTGTCAGGGAGAAAAATACAAGGTTTTCAGTACAGGTTCACAAATAACAAAATATTATGGGTAGCTGGGATAAACTGATTTATTTCTAAACAAACTGAAATATCATCTTAGAAAAGGAAAGGATTTTTTTGGATGCAGTTAACTGTGGCGTTTATTTCCAAGCAACTGCCAAGGGTTACCTTAGTTTAAGATGAAACAAAAGTACAGAGGGTGGAAAGAGAAAAGGTATTGATCAGCTCTATTTGACTGATAATGTGCCTGTTATATCCAGACACAAATTACTGTTGTCATGATTATTCTGAACTGGGTTTTGTGGGTGACACACAAGAAAAAATGTCCTCTTTGTGTCAAAATGATCTAAAATATGAAACGCGGTGCAACAGAGAGTCCAGACTAGTCACTCTATATAAGATGACTGGATTACCAGCTTGTGAAACCGCTACATATGTGATGCAAATAGATTTGCCTACTAGTTTGGCTGGTAAACTCAGTACAAAGCTCTTGGGGCTGTTGGAACTACTGCAAATCCTACCATACAAATAATTCTCGTGTACTTTAGAGAAAAGATAGGCTTAAAAAAAGCCACTTACAGGTTTGCAGTTTGTTGGTTTTCCATTCATATCAATGTCTGGAGGGTTCAGAAAATCCCAGTCACGGCCTTTGTTGTAGGTTATCAGAGTTGTAACTTTCCCATCAATTTTCTGGTTGGCCAAAAAGACTCCTTTTACACCTCTGACCTGAAGCACACAGGAGAGAGGGTTAATGACCAGCACTTACACATTTTTTTCAATAAGGATTATCCCTGATTAACTGTTCTTTTGTGGCTCAGAACTGTGTACCTCAGGTACTTTTTCCACTAGGAAAGTGATGATACCTTAAAAAAAAAAATAAGGAAAGCAAAAGTATAAGAGGAAAGTGAGAAAGGGGAGGACAATTACTAACTGATATGTATTTCTAAACATATTTAAAAAGGATATACAGTTCTCTCAGTGTCAGAAAGCTAATCAAATTACATGTAGTTTATACAGCAAAATACAAAAATTACAATAGCATGGTCTTACTGCATATTACTGTTTAAATTACAGCTCTGCAGTTTTTTAAAAACATGGACATCTCTAAAATGTTATTCTACAACTGTCGTAAGCAATTTAGAACAGCATCTTGACTTTTACACTGAAGTCACGTGACCCACATCATATAAATAGCACACAAATAGGTTACAGTAACAAAATACAATATAATATCCTTTAAAATAACACTGAATTAGGAAGCACAATTGCCTTTTGTAGGAAATAAATGAAGACAGATCATCCAGGGAAGAAACAGTGAGGGCTGAATCAACCTCTCAAGCATTGAAACTCTTCCACATCCAGTCCACCTCCACACATTTAGCCATTTAGCCTCCCTTCACCTGTTAAACCTCAAGGCAGGGGGAAGTTTACAGGCTCTCCCCTCTCTTGGGCAAACTTAGTTATTTTATCTCAAAACAATCTGTATTAGAAAATGATTACAACTCAGAGTGACAAAGTTAGTGAGGATAATTTTTAGGAGCAACCTGATGGTAATCGCACCGTAATATGTTTAGTTCTAGCCCTAACATTTGTTATGTTTTCATATTTCACCAATGGCATGAGATAAAATCTTATATTCTATTTGAAGGTTTCCTTAAGAGTGCTATTGTTTTCCTTGAGATTATTTATGAGGTTCCTTGAATTTCTGAACAATTCTTGGCAATGTATATCAACTCATACACCATTTCTACCATAGGACAGCTCTCTAATCTACCTTCCAGATTCAACTGTGATGCGAGACACCCAAATTCTTCTCTATTTTCTACTTTTGACTCAGTTCCCGAATCTAAAATTGAGATATTAGTATCTTTATACCAAGAAGGGAAAAGCCTCACATTAATAATAAGGTACTATGGAAAAGAAAACATTTCCACATTGTGGAGTGTTCAGTTACTCTGATGAACAGTCCAGTAGCTACCCAAAGCCAGATGAACACAAAGAAATTCAAAAGTACCTTTCATTTGATTTTCTTTGTACTTTTGGATTAGTTCTCAGAGCACCTATTTACCAAAACAGTTCAGGGGTTAGTTGTTCTCCAGTACTCTTAGAAAAACACTTTGTACCTTATAAACCTATTTTCTAAATGGGTCTTCTGCTATGACTAGGTATTCTGCGACACATTAATTGCTGCATTGTTACATTACTGATCTTACAGCTAAGCAATATTCTATACTAGTTGGTAGCAAGAAGCACAGTTCAGATGGTCCTACAGTATTTATTAGAAGCAGTTACTGAAATCCCAAAATATTGCTATATTATAAAAGATTGTGTTTAGCATTTAAATAAATACAATTTGTTGTTTGGGAAAAAAAAAAAAAACAACCACAAAACACAAAAAAAAACCCATGAAGAATGTGTACTGCAACTTGTGTAGCTCTTATCTATATGAGGAGTCACAGCAAGATCCAATCTAGAAGTATTACAATAGTATGCCCATTTTTCAAATATGTTTATGTCAAATTTGTGAGTGGTTCACACCGGCAGCACTCAATACAATTTCAGGACATACTCCTTTTGTACAGTCACAAATTTCATGGGCGTGTTCCTTTTGGACAGTCACTTAATACTTTACCTTTCATTTTCTTTCCTTCTTTGAACAATTATTTGGGAATTATTCCCCTTTCACACATGCGACATGAAAAGAAATATGGTACCAAGAAAAAAATCTATAAAAGAAAATGAATGCAGATAGGTAGAAACCTATAAAAGATTTTATAGCAAATGTACAAGTAAAAGATGAAGTGAGGTTAGCAGATGATAATGACAGCGAACAGTGCAAATTTTAAGGAGAATTACTTGTTGGTGGAAAGAGAAATTAGATTGGACTGTCTCTATGTTGCACTGAAAATTCCTCTTCCCAAGATGATATGCTTGCATTAAAATGGCCAGAGAGAAATCCCAGACTAGACCAAAAAAATCCCGTTATCAAGGACTGCAATATGTGTTACATTTCTAAAAAGGTAGAGTGTAGACATTTAATCATTGGTAATGATAGACCTTTTTGTTGTACTATAGCCATTTGGAAAGAAAAAGCTAAACAAAGATGGAGGAGATAAGGAGGAAAAAACTACTATTGTTTTCCCCCACCAAAGAGAGTCATTTAACATCTCTGTAAGTGCATGTCTTCAGAATTACTACAAACCTTTTCCAAAGAAGTCTGGTACATGTATAAAGATTTATTTAAAAAAACCCCAAAAAACAAACCTAACACCAGTCAGATTAGAGTGTAACAGTGGCCAAACTGGGTCAGACCTAAGGTCCATTAATTTAATATCTAGATAATAACCAGTCCTATGTTCTACACAAAAGAACAGAATCAGAGCAAATGTACACCTTATTACATTTAAACGTTGCTGTCAACAGGAACAGAATTGATAACAGTTTGTGCTAGTCTTCCAAAACACTATATTCTTCAGTCTTTTATATTGCCAAGTGCATTCATGTTAAAATCCAAGATAGATTTGTTTACAGGAGAATTTGTCTCATAGCAAATGCTACTGGCACCAGACACTTACTGAAAGCAAGTGGATTTGCTGTCCAATATCTAATTTTGTTGATTCTTTCCTTGTCAGAGCTGACACAACTTAGCACAAGGCTCACAGGATTACTATTTAAGACCCTACTGGCTAAAAGATGTTCTGCTCTAAGTCAGGAAGTGTATCAGAGTCACCTAAAAGAAAAAAGCTGTATGTAGGCAGCTGCCTAACTTCTTACTTCAATAATAAATTTTGCTGCCAACTTCACTTTCCAATATCTTTTAAGAAAACCTGAAAAACAACCCTCAGCCAATTCTGGTTTTGTACATCCATGGAACTCCATACAAAGAATCTAGTTCTTAAAGCACACAGCATGTTTGCAGGGCGAGGGAAAAATGTAAGTAGTAACAATAGATACTAATAAAGATAGTAGTAAAAATAACTGTGAAAATATATCAATGTAAAATTAGTTATACTCATAATCAAAATTAAAACTCTACACAGACTATACCCCTTGGAAGATATAAAGACCTACCTCCAGAATATCTATCAGGACATTCTCTTCTGGCTGCTTTGTGCTCCGGACATTCTCCAGCAGGATAGAGTAGTAAACACCTTGTGGGTCAGACTGGTAGAGATTGTACGTGTCTGTCTGGTACCATTCCTGAACAGCCACAAACACCTGGTTTTCATCTGTACTGATTATCTGTAAATCCTGGGGGAAAATAAGGTACAAATTGACTAATTTTTCCATCATTTCTATTTTACAAACAAGTTGGCTTGGACAGTTTAATACCACAGGCAGGGTAGGGGGGGGGAAGAAATGTATCTGAAAGTTCAGTAACAGTAATCTCCTACCGATGCAACATGCTGCATCCCACCACTCTGAGGTGGTCAGTCACTGCCTTTTGGCTACAGGTTATTAGAGTGCAAATAGCTTATGGAGACCAAACTCATGAACGTGCAACAGCTGTGATCTGCTTTGACTCTTGTGGAAAAGACTTAAAAAAAAAAAAAAAAAAAAAAAAGGAAAAGAAGTAAATTTTCCAAAATCTGCATGACAGTCAATGAAAGACTGAAACAATATAAACAAAGCTAGTCTAAAAAATAATCCTCAGGTACCTAGAGAATTAAGAAATATTTTGTCCAGGGTAAAGCATAACATAGCCCAAAGAGGATCAGATGTAATTTACAGCAGTTACACACAGAAATAGTACATATCGTGCACGCAGTTCATGTATATTATAGTACATAATGCTAATTTATCTATGTAGACAGATCCACTTAAATATTCAACAGTAACAACACGAGAGTCAACATTCTGCATTTATTTCTCAAGAATTTCAGGCTTGGATATTGGAAGAGCTTGCTTTCAGTTTTCCCAGCTTCTTCACTCCAAACTTCTCAAACAAAGCACAGCTGGGGAAAATAATTTAACACTAATATTAAACAGAAGAAATAAATCAGCAACTAGCAACACTGAACTAAGCTTAGCAAACAGAAAAAAAGGACAAGAGTTTGCAATAGGATATGGCAGCATAAAGGCAGATGTTGGGACTACACATGCAATGACATCTAGTCATGGAGACTGCAAGCTTGTAAACTCTTTATGACCTTGGTACTTAACTGGAATACTGTATCCAGTTCTGGTCACATTATTACTGTAAAAATAACTAAGGCAATGGAGTGAATATTAAATAAAGCTACCAAAATGTCAAAATAACATGAACTGGAGGAAAATTTAGTTAAAAAAAAAAAAAAAGTTTTAAAAAAAAAAAAATTAGTTAAAAAAAAATATTTCTCTCTTAGAGTTCTCTTTGTAGAACTCTAAGAGAGAAATAAAACAAGTTTTGTAAGAATCCAGTTAAGACTGAAGAAAATGTGAGTAACAGAGCAACACTGAATACTTGGTAAAGCATGGCAGTCATGCTTTAGGCAACATTCATGATGTGATTGAGGCACTTAGATTAAAAAAGACATTAATAGAAATGATACAAGAAAAAGATTTTTATTATGAACAAATATGGTTATTAAATAAATAATCATTTAGTTAAAGTATTTTTACATATATGACACATCTCAATACAGAAGAGCTGAAGTGAAGTTTCCTGTCAATGACAGTTCAATGCTGTTTTCAAAGACGTTCATGTTGAACTATGTACTAAAGTAGATTTTTGTTTAGCATCCCGTGAATAGTTCTGTTTTTCCTTATACTCACAAATTACTCAGAAGCAGGGAGTCTGGCAGAAATACCAGCGAAACACAGCAACTGATCCCAACAGGTTCTTTAAAAAGCCTTTGAAATGTACAGAATGCTACATCTCCTGCCTTCAACCATGGCCATGTGAGGCTGGGTAGCCCACATTACACCACATCTAATACTGAATTCACTTCTTTTGCAGTGTGAGAAAAGCTCCCCTGATTATCTGATAAGTAAGGATGGAAGTGAAGCAGAAAGTCAAAAGAAGGAATAAAGAAACAGTTTTCTATTTTATGTGAAAAAAAAACCCTCTAGAAAACCCTTACCCTCCTGCGATGCCAGGAACTATCAGTAGAATTCACCTACATTTATATATAATTATATATATTATGCAAATATAACATATAAAATAATTTATTATATATACTAGATGATATATAAAACATATACATATTTATTAAAAAATATAATAAAACATTTATACAGTGCCATAAACAAATGCAAATCTCCAGAGAGTGTAGGTAAGTTGCTGTCCTTGCTCCAAGCGCTGGCGGGGTGGCAGTGGCTGCACGGGTTGGCCCGTGTGGCAGGGGTGAGAGCTGGGAGGATGGGCACAGTTGTGGTTCTTGTATCTCAGGGTGGGCTAGGAGCTGCTGGGTGAGCAGAAGCAATACACAAAGAGCCAAAATGTGTGGTGTAGAAAGACAGGAAAATTAATTTGGGGCAGATTGGAGCGATCAGGTGAAAGAGAGAGGGACTGGAATGCAGAAGTTTACTGAAGTAAATGAGAGTTTACTTTTATCTTGGCAGCAACTGTTACCAAGGAAGAGGTTTGTACAGATGCCAATTATTTTCTGAGGCAAGAACTTAATAGATTCTGGTTTTACCTGCCTTGGACTTTGTTCCTTCCTTTCAGAATTTACACCTTCAGATTTCCAGTTCAGTGTTACTCCTATTTTCCTTTCACTGTGATTTCTTTGCCCTCAAGAAGCAAATCAGTCCTTCAGTTCTACTACCTTGCATTAATCCTGAACAACATTCTTTCTAGTTATGATATAACCCTCCAGGAAAATTAATAGACAAAGTAAGGAAAACTGCAAATTTCATGACCTATTCTTAAATTTATCTTTGAAAATCCTGGATGACACAGACTGCTGGAATTCTAGCTAAAACAAAGCTAAACTGTCATGTCACTCTTACTCTATTCCTATTCTGGAAAGGTGAATTTAAACAGAGTAAGAAGAAATTGATTGACAAACACAGAGGCTGTGTCTTCAGTGTGCTAAATCCAATCCTTCACCTCAGCTACTCACTGTTAACAGATGAGAGCACATAAAGATGGGATGTCAGCAAATATTGCTAGTCAGAACTTACTGTCACTGAAGAGTTAACTAGTAAAGACATCTGAGAAAGAAGAAATATCTTGATGGAGGGAATGCAAGTTTTCATTGCTTTATTTAATTCATGGCCACAGATACTAGTTTAGGCTGTAATCTCAGCAGATCCTATAAGGAAAGCATTTATTCTTTGACGATTTCATGCTTGAACTACTGCAATGCCTTCTTGCTGGACCTCCTGCTTTCTCCCTCCACATTGTGCAGGCTACTCAAAGTCCTGCTGATCATCTAATTTTTCTTTAATTATGCTATTCACACATGATTTCTTCAAATTAATTTATAAAGATCATCTTTACTGATGTTAGAGATCTTCAAGATTTGGAACATACCTTATTGTCACTACTCAGATTTTTGTTTATCTCCAGGCTGTTTTTTTTGTATATGTTCCATATTTGAGCTCTTGTGCTTTCCTTTCATTTCCCTGCTCAAATGATAGAGTCTGTGTATTTTCAGGTGTCGCAAGGCAGAATCTTCTCCCAGATTTGCCATAGAAACCACGTCATTTCCTTTACGGCATGCCCATTCCTCCATGGACATACTTTCTCTCTACTACTTTACTTTTGCTCTGCACAGTCTGACATATCTGCTTTGTTCCATGTCTTGCTGATCCAAGCATCCACACTCACTATTCTCACTTCTCTCTCTCTCTTTTTTTTTTTTTTTTTTTTTTTTTTTTTTCAAAGATCACCAATGGTAATTCGTATCAGTGATAGAATGTGATCCCAAGTACCGGTGTTCTCCATTTATTTTATCTCATCATATCAGGTTGTAAGCTTCTACAGTTCTGAGATGCTACTAGCTGTATTGTCCAAAACTCCATGAAATCTCTGTGTTCTGTTTGATAAGGTACTTCTTGTGCACTATATTCTACGAATTCCTTTCTCACAATGTTTCCTTCATTCTCCTTTTTACTGGGTAATGTTATACCTCACTAAGGATAGATGTCTAAGTTCATCACTAAAAATCTGTGGAACAACTCATAGATCCAAGACAATGGACCAACCCAGGGACATAGATAGCCAAAGTAGCCTGAAAGTGCTGTAAAATCCAGTACGTAATCACATCCACAGAGTCATTTTCCTATGGTTGGATGAAAGTAGACAGAAAACAGCCTTCAAATGATGTAATCAGTCATCCCAAGGGAAATGGAAGAAATTGTCTTCTAAGTCTGCTCAGAGTTAAATACTGGGTTTAAATCACAGCTAAGGAGATTCAGGTTAGACATCAGAATATCCTTCTATAGTAGGGCCTGGTCATACACACTGAGGATAAATGCTTAGGGAGGTAAAGTTATCTTCATCCCTGGGTTCTGTTAAGAGTAGATTAGACAAATATCTGTCAGAACTGGTCTAAGGCAGATGACCATACTTTGGAAAAGGACCTCTCAGAATCCTTTCCATGTCTACTGTCTACAAAACTGGAAAAACAGAGGAAAATAAAAACATTACTGAGATTACTTGAAATGTTACACATACAATTAAAAATATTATTAAAAAGACAGGATTTGGATTTTTTTCTGTTTGTTTTGGGGGGTTTTTGGTTGTTTTGTTGTTGTTTGTTTGTGTGTTTTTGTGGTTTTTTTTCAAGTTTCTTAACTATGCTAAAGAAAGTAAACGATTTCCAGACAAATAAATATTTCAACTTTGCAATCTTTTAATACTGTGGTTGGGCAACAGGTTAACCTGAAGGAAGTGATAAATTAAACAGAGAATCATGAGGAATAAATGTTTCAGAAGCGTAACAGATAGAAGCATTCAAGGCTGTGTAGTCTCAGCCGTGACCTCCAGATGCACCACATTTATACCCCTGTAATCTCTTAAACACAATCAAGGTAACTACGTGGCACATAAAGATAATCTTTCTAATCTTCCTTGCCTGGCCAAGTAAAACAAGGCAATGAGAGAAATCAATAAAAATCACACTCTGAAGAAAAGAACAGTTCCTTTGAATCCACCTCGGATGGATTTGTTCAACCAGGGAGCCAGACACCTGCTACAGCTCAGGTTTCACTGGCTACTGCCGTGACACCTCCTGGAAAAGGAATAACTTCTCCTGAATCAAATGTAACTGGTACCTGTATTTCTACTTTGTTCCCCTTTATTCTTTGTTTAGCACCCA